GAAATATTTGATGATCCTAGAAGGTATAGACGGCTAATGGGGAAGCTGAACTATTTGACTATCACGAGACCAGACATTTCCTTTGCAGTCAGTGTGGTGAGCCAATTTATGCAGAACCCTCGGATACCTCATTGGGATGCAGTTCTTAGAATTGTAAGGTACCTGAAGGGAGCTCCAGGCCATGGGTTATTGTACAAACTAGGAGGAAAACTTGAAGTAATTGGGTATACAGATGCAGATTGGGCAGGATCTGTGTCTGATAGAAGATCTACTATAGGTTACTACACATTTCTTGGAGGAAATCTTGTGACATGGAAGAGTAAGAAGCAGACGGTTGTGGCAAGGAGCAGTGCTGAAGCCAGATACAGAGCCATGGCACACACTACATGTGAATTAGTATGGCTGAGGAATCTCCTACAAAAAATCGGGTTCTCCATGGATAGACCTATGAAATTGTACTGTGACAATCAAGCTGCACTCCACATCTCATCCAACCCTGTTTTTCATGAGAGAACAAGGCACATAGAGATTGATTGCCATTTTGTGAGGGAGAAGGTCCTTATTGGAGAGATAAGCACAGAACATGTGGGCTCGGGTGATCAATGGGCAGATTTGTTTAAAAGGCTTAAAGCATAGGGAGAGTGAACTGTATATGTAACAAGCTGGGATTATATGACATATATTCTCCAGCTTGAGGGGGAGTGTTAGAGCTAGCCGAATAAGGGTAGATTAGTCATTTTATTTCTGTTCAGTTATGTGCTTATGTGGCAGTTTTAATAGACTTCCTGTCATACTTAAGTGGGGGCAGTTTAGTCTTTGTACTACTAATTAGAGGCTAATCCATATTAAGGGTCGACTGATAGGGTTCAGTCTATCAAGTTCGAACGTTCTCTTCATCTTCTTCTTCTTCTTCTCTTCTCCTGGTTCAAACTACTGTAGCTACAGAACAAATAGGGTGCATGTAAAATAACTATAGAAACATATTCCAAAAACTGTAGGAAAATGACATTTTTCTGATTTTCTATTGGGAAAGCTTAAACTGCTTGTTTCAGTGGAAATATTGATCATTCAAATATATGACACATTACCAGAAATGTCACTTATTTTATGATTAATTGCTTGGATATATTGTGACAATTATGGACATGATGAAAAACTGTGAAATGTACAAAATATACAATGATATTTTATGTAATGATAAAAGAATTGTAGATACACCATTTTAATTACTAGGGACAGGGCCATGTGCATTGTGTGTGACAATGTCAAATAATAATAATTTGAAAGACTGTAGATACACCCATAGTTATCAAGGCGACAAGGTGCCCTTGGAGGCTCGCATTGCCTAATCGCCAAGATGTTTTGTACTTTCTATTATAAAATACTTTTTTATTCTTTATTTTTAGAGATTATAATTATAAAATAGACATTATTAAACTAAAATATCCATTTTGTGTGCTTATATACTAATTTCATTTTATTATTTTCTTATTTCCTAGGTTTAATCAACACAAACATTGCTAAATTCTGTATTGAACCCTCAAAGACTTCAAAACCTGAACAAATAAGTAAGGTTAAAATTTTGTCTAATCAACACATTTCCTTCTTCTTCTTCTTCTTCTTCTTCTTCTTCTTCTTCTTCTTCTTTTCTTTCTTCTTTTTCTTCTCATGAATATGTTGATTTTTTATGCTTTAACATGAAATCATTTTCTTATGAAAATTATGAATAATTATTAAGGAAATATAGTTATGTTACCTAGGGAACTCCCTAGGATCTATGTTTTTTGCATAAAAAAAAAGAATCCATCACTTAGGCGACCTCCCCTGTCAATTAGCCTCGCCTTGGCGCCTTGAAAACTATGGGTACACCGTTGCATGTGACAATTCTTGAATTTATCTCCCTTCCCCTCCCCTAAGCCACCTAAATATTCAATTAATTACTTTAGGGAGAGTCTGTAGCAATCTTCCTCTGTTGATGAGACACTTAAAACTCCACTCATTTAATAGACCTATTAGTGTCCTTGGGCAGCACCAGCTGAACTTGAAAATTTGACTGAAATGACCATAAATTCCATTAATGTATAGGCAATGTACAAACAAGTGATCTCCTGTCTTGCATAAATCAAGAATCTAACCCAAATTACCCGTCACACTAAGACTATTAAAGCTAGAATCAATTTCCTTTTCCTGGGGTAGCTCAGATATTAATGTGTTTGTAGTCCTTTTCTAATTTGCTTCTAACCAAAATGATTAATGTGGCCGAAAAAGACAACTTTTCTGTTCACCATTATTTATTTATAGAATTTAGAAAATTTAAATATTCACGTGGACATGATAAATAGGTTTTACCATTCAGAATATCTAGTTATAAAAGTTACTCTATGAAGAAACTTATCAACTTCAGAAAACATATTTGTATAACTTCAGATGCTATATATTTTAGTTTAAATGGCATGGTTTCAAACGATCCTATGGTTTTACCTAGGCCCCATTTTACCAACCCCTTACAAGTTTCTTCCCTCCTAGGATAATACAATCCCCTATGTGCACCCTGCCTAGCTAGTACATCTGCTGGGTCATTTGCCAACTTGTCGACCATTGTAGAACATGTATATTTCTTCATTATTCAGGTTTTTTCCAAGTTAAACATGACATCATGAAAAGTAGAAATATAATTCTTTTTCTATTTAATTTCATTAAGAAATGCCTCATTTTCCTTTACATGCAATGAAATACAGCCTATATGTAGTATGCTTGTTTCTGTGCCTGTTCACATTCGTTGAGCATACATGATTTCCTTCTTTTGGAAGGGAAATTGTATCTGTTTTATTTGTATGTAACTCTATACGTCTTTAACTTGTATAGTTGAAACAGATATTATGCTTCCTGAGACCATAAATTTCTTTCTTTAATTTTTGATAATTGCATGTTCAAATACTTTGCAAGTACAATAGTAATGTTCACATGGGATTGCTTCCTATGAAAAATTTGACTACCTTCAACATTCCAATTTCCAAAGCCTTCCTAAGCCACCAATGCCCAAATTTACTAGTAACTACATTTGAGGGTGGTCAGATTTAGGGAAATTTGGCTGAGATTTTCTAGTGGTAATTGTTGGCCGATTGTGTAAATCAGATGGCCATGGACCAGGATGGCGAACACTGCCAGCACATGATCCTGTAGTCCAAGATGCAGCAGATCATGCTGTGAAGACTATCCAGCAGAGGTCAAACTCGCTGGCCCCATATCAACTGCTGGAGGTCCTTCATGCAAAAGCCGAGGTCGCATCTCCTGCTCTTTTAGTTCCTCCCTATCAGTAGAAGTTTAGTCTATCATTTGCTCTTCTCCTGGAAGTATAAGTTCATTTTATACTATGCTTGTTGATCAATACCCATTCTTTCATTTGGGTGTTCATGTAGGTGATTGAAGAAGTTGCCAAGCTCAATTTGCTTCTCAAGGTCCAAAGGGGAAGCAGGGAAGAGAAATTTAAGGTTGAATTACAGAAGACTATTGAAGGTACCTTTCATTTAAATCAAATGGAGCTAGATCCCTCCTAACTTGGGCAACTAGCCTAGTATGCTAGTACGTGTGGATTAACAACCAACTGCTTGTCTACTTTCTGACTCTTTAGATCTGGGAAACAAATAACTATGTACTAGTGCAATAATCTTTACATGTTATAAAAATATAATATATTGGAGATAAATATGATGCTTTCATCTTCCTTCCGAAATTATAAAATCGATATATATTAGGCCATACATTTAGACCATGGTCATGTTTTGCACCTTACTTTATGAGAGAATGGCAAGTAATGTGGGAGCCAGATTACGATCAGTGGTTTATGAATCACTGCTTTAAACCTGACCTGAATCATAACACCTAATTCCTTTATTGTTCAATTCAAAGCCAATTTGAATTCCAAAATTTTTACTTTGCATTTTAGTATTAGGTATGTTCTAATTACAGGATCCCTTCATTATTAATCTGGCCCTAAATCCTTATTTCTTAGGGTAAAGCTGTCTTACTATTAAATTGGTTTTGAAATTTAATGCATTTTTCTTAGGTAAAGAGTTTTCACTATTGCCTTTCTTTAGGTGAAACTCCATTATTAATTTGGCCTTAAAGCCTTGTAGTTTTCTTTAGGTGAAACTGCTTCACTGTCAATTTGGCTTTAAAACTGTATGCCTTTCTTTAAGTGAAGTTACTTCACTATCAAATTGGCCTTGAAACTAAGTGCCTTTCCTCATGTGAATTCACTTAATTATTGGTCTAGCCTGAAAAACTTTTAACCTTTTCCTTAACTCCCTTTTGATTATATAAATGTATCCTGAATCAATTTGTTTGAATCCTCCCAGAAACTTGACAGTTGCCCAAAACTTTATTCCTTTCAAAACTTTTAATTCATTTTTTTTTTTTTTTGATCGGAGGGCTATTTAGTTCCTTTTGGAACTGGTACTTTTACTAGTTGGTAATCATGGATTGTATATCCTGTACAATTAGGATCACCACATCATCAAGATGATGTCCAAAGGTTCTAAGCTCTTACTATCACCATCCTTACCTTATTGCAAGCAAAATCTAATTGGAAGAGTAAGTGAACGTCACGCACATGTAAGGGTAAAAAGAACTTCACGGGATTTGAAATAATAGACTTGACACAAAATGGAACACTGGCAACCAAGCTTTAAAATAAAGGGAAATTGTCCAAAACCCACCATAATTTTTCAAAACGTTCAAAATTCACCATGTCAGTGACATAACAGTAATTTAACTATGGGCATCGTTAATTTATTATTTTACCCTTTTTCCACCGCTGAAATCTTTTTTTTCTATTTTCATAGTTTAATGCCAGCATTATTTCCCTTTCTTTCTCACTCAGACTCCGCCCTCTTTCTTTAGAGAAGCTTCAATCCGGCCACTCCGATTAACACTACCATCACCACCACCACCGTCATATCTCCAAACAGGGGAATTCTCTTTTTTGCTTTTCTTGTGGTGTGGGGACTCTGCTAAAAGTCGTCTACTCTCATTCTCAGTCTCATACACACAGATAGAGTTCATCTTCTTTTCCTAAGGGAGAGGAAGGAGGAAAGAACCTTAGAGGAAACACCCGAAGCTGGAAAGAAGATGGTTAAAGATAAGATTGAGAGAAAGAGAGAGCGTAGCTTCGTGTAGCAACAGCTAGCCAAGGCATACCCAAATAAAGTGTAGGTTTTCAACCATGTGCTTTCAACCACTCAAACCCCGGCCAAGACGGAGATGGGAATTTCATGGAGTAGGCACAGCAAGTGCACAGCGAGTTCTTTGTTTGAACCTTGAGCCCCGCCACCACAGTACCGACGGGCGGAGATTCCTTAGACAATTGTACTTTTAGCCAAATAATCAGCCATATCCATGGTGTATTCACATCGTTGTTAGCTTCAATCTTTTTAGACTTTTAGAAACCATTCCTTAGACAATTTTCCTCAAAGCTCAGTTTGGAAGGAGTATAAATGCAATTAAATATATAGAGTGCAAAACTATGTATTTTGTATTATTTGTAGTTGTACTCCTTCCAAACTGAGCCCAACAATCAATGTAAAACTCGACTTGCGATGAGTATTACATCAATTTTCGAGGGTTATTTATGTTTCATCCAAACAGTTATAAAACCGGATCGAAGTGTAAAAGAACATCAGTTTGATATTTACGCCACAACCAAAGGCAGCTTGCTTTGATATCTGGTGTTCTCCAATATTCTTTTGAGTTCCCTATTCGCTAATTCAACTTGGCCACTGGTTTGAGGGTGATATGGGGTTGCTAATTTATGTGTAACACTATATTTTCGCATCAGCCGCTCAAATTGGGTGTTGTAGAAATGAGTTTCCCTATCACTAATTATAGCTCAAGGTGTGTCGAATCGGGTGAATAGCTTTTTAAGAAAGTGTACTACCCTCCTAGAGTTATTTGTGGGTAAAGCCATGGCTTCCACCCATTTGGATATATAATCAACAGTAACTATGATGTATTTGTTACCAAAAGAATTCGGGAAGGGTCCAATACATAAAAAAWTTCACAAATTAAGATATTAGTGAGGGGCATTTCATTCAATCAGGAGATATTACCTGTTCTCTGGCATTGGTCACATGCGGACACGTACCTGTGAGCATCCTTGAACAAAGTTGGCCAATAGAAACCTGATTGCAAAACCTTGGCTGCAGTGCAGTTGGCTCCGAAGTGGCCTCCTGCTTCTCTATCATGGCAGTACCGGAGCACCGACTCCATCTCTTCCTCGGGGACACACCTCCTTATGATCTGATCTGCACATAGTTTGTACAAAAATGGATCCTTCCACAAATAGTGTTTCACATCAGAGAAGAATTTCTTCCTCTTCTGATATGAAAGATGAGGAAGGATAACATGTTTAGTTAGATAATTTGCAAAATCAGCATACCAAGGTGATGCATCTACCTGAATGGAGTAGAGTTGTTCATCCGGAAACTCCTCTCGAATGGTGTTGATTGTCTTCTCTTCTAAATCCGCATTCTCTAACTGGGTAAGATGATCAGTAGCTAGGTTCTCGGTACCTTTCTTGTCACGAATCTCAACATCAAACTCTTGCAGCAATAGGATCCACCTAATCAGCCTCGGTTTTGCATCCTTCTTTGCGAGTAGTTCCTTTTCTATTGTGGTGTAATTCTATTGAGCTCCATTCAAGGTTCTGCTAGCATAATAGATCAGTTGAAAATGTTTGTTCATTCTTTGTCCTAGAACAACTTCCACTGCTGAATCACTCGCATCACACATCAGCTCAAAAGGAAGTGTCCAATCCGATGATATAATGATCAGGGCATTGATCAGCTTGTCCTTTAGGATGTTGAACGCTTGTAGGCATTCGTTTGTGAACTCGAAGGGCACATCTTTCTGAAGAAAAGTGGACAATGGCTTAGCTATCTTGGAAAAATCCTTGATAAATCTTCTATAGAACCCAACATGTCCCAAGAAGCTTCTCACAGATCGGACGGATGTTGGTGGTGGCAACTTCTCAATTGTCTCCACCTTGGCTCTGTCAACTTCAATACCTCTCTGTGAAATCTTATGCCCAAGAACAATGCCTTCTTGCACCATGAAATGGCACTTCTCCCAATTCAGCACTAGATGTGTGTCCTTGTACCGCTTTAGTACCTTCTCCAGATTATTCAAACATACATCAAATGAAGAACCAAAGACTGAGAAATCGTCCATGAAGACCTTCATAAACTTCTCAACCATATCAGAAAATATTGCCATCATACACCTCTAAAAAGTTGTTGGAGCATTGCATAACCCGAATGGCATCCTCCTATAGGAAAAGGTACCATAGGGGCAAGTGAAGGTGGTCTTCTCCTAATCTTCCAGTGAAATTGGAATTTGATTATAACCTGAATACCCATCCAAGAAACAATAATACTCATGTCCGGCCAGCCTCTCTAGCATTTGGTCAATGAAAGGGAGAGGGAAATGATCATTGCATGTGGCTTCATTCAATTTTCTGTAATCAATGCACACTCGCCACCCGGTGATGGTCCTAGTCGGTATGAGTTCATTCCTTGCATTCGGTACTACGGTCATGCCACCTTTTTTTGCCACTACTTGCACGGGGCTCACCCATGAGCTGTTTGAGATAGGATAAATGATACTAGGCATCTAGCAGCTTGATAACTTCAGCCTTCACCACCTCTTTCATATTCGGGTTCAGGCATCTTTGGGGCTGAACCGAGGGCTTGATTCCATCTTCCATCAGAATTCTGTGCGTGCATATAGATGGGTTGATGCCCTTAATGTCGGCTACCTTCCAAGCCAAAGTTGTCTTTTGTTCCCGTAACACTCTCAACAGTTTTTCTTTTTGTAATTGGGTAAAGGCTGTTGATATGATCACCGGTAGGGCTGACGGTGCCTCTAAGAAAGCATACTCCAAATGTGGTGAGAGTTGCTTCAGCTCAAGGGTGGGTGGCTCTTGGGTTGAAGGCTTGCTTTTTGGCATTGGTGATCTGTCCAAGCTCTCCAACTTGAGGAATCATTTCCCTTGAAACTGTGGATTGCCATTCAGGTATGCTGTCATGCTTTGAATCTCTTCATTTTCTCCCATTGTAGCTTCTCCATCTTGTATGCATAGCTCAAGGGGATCAGCCAACCTGCAAACCTGAAAGCAATCATCAACCGCATAATCAATAACATCAATCATGTAACAAGAATCATCACTAGAAGGTGCATGTTTCATAGCATCAAACATTTTAAAAATTATTTCCTCATCTTGAATCCTAAGGCTGAGTTCCCTTGTTGGACATCAATCATTGCCTTCCCCGTAACTAGGAAAGGTCTCCCTAGGATAAGAGGGACATCAACATCATCTTACATGTCTAACACAACGAAGTCAACTAGAAAGATGAACTTATCAACTTTAACAAGTACATCTTCTATGATTCCCCTATGATGCTTAATGGATCTATCAGCTAATTGCAATGCAACTCTAGTGGGTTGGGGTTCACCCAATCCCAATTTATTGAAAACCGAATATGGCATCAAGTTTATGCTAGCTCCTAAATCACAAAATGCCTTATCAATTTTCAAACTGCCTATAGTGCAAGGGACAGTGAAACTCCCAAGATCTTTTAGTTTCTGAGGCAACTTATTGAGGAGGATTGCCGAGCATTCTTCATTTAGTGCAACTGTAGCCACATCTCCCAGTTTCCTTTTGTTTGCCAATAT